ACAAGCTGTGTTAAATCTGAGTTTATTTCTAATCATGTGTTGACGACTTATGATTGCCACCAGACAGCATTACATATTTCACTGGCACCGTCTCCATTAACCATCGATACTATTGGTGCCAATCAATCTTATCCCATAACTACCATAAAAGAGAATCCCATAGTCCTCTGTTTCACGTACACCCCCTGCTCTTGCGACAACCAGCAACGGGGCTGTGAGGGAAAGGAGCATTCTGATACTACTTCCAACTATAATTCTTACCATGACTGTGTCTGAATTGGAGGAAGCAGGACCCTTTAGACGAACATTAAGATTTCTTAAAAATATTTTCTGATTTTCAAATGGACACAGATAACACAGGGTGTGAGCAAATAGCAAATAAAATGCTGTATGTTTATTGCCCAAGTTCATCTAATTGTGGTATATTACTTAGGGAGGGAAATCAAGAAGGCAAGTACAAGACCAAAGCCAAAACAATTCCAAATCTTTACATGTGCTAGTCCGAAATACTTCATGTGCATCTGAGCACCTATAAAAGGCATTTTAGTATGTGTGGGCACGGATGCAGACAGTGAAGGATGACATTCTAACCCTGAAAGAACTCTTCTGCAGAGTTTTGGGAAATGCGAGGTATTGACTAACAGAGACCTGCCTGGGCATTCTGTTATGCTTGTACTTCTATGTGTTTCCTAGCCTGCGAAGCACACCTACTTGCAGGGACAACAGACAGCATATGTTACTGGACCGATTGAGAGGGTGGGGTAGGAGGTATAGATCAACTAGCACAAGAAAACGTGAGAAGTGTCGCCTTGTGTCAAACACGAGGAAGTCTCTCCTCCTCCATACAGGATAAAAATTCAGTTCATGCTTCGGGAATGACCAGTGTGTTCTTGCAGCAGCAATGCCTTTTTAAGTATCTTTTTTTTTGTCAAATAACATTACAACTCTTTGTGGGAACAAACAAAATAACTACACACAAAGCATTTATGCTTTTAAATGTATTTTTAGACTTACCTTGCTAATCTCTGCTTCGTATTCCTGCCTCAGTTCCCCAGGCTTGCTCAGCTTGTGTTGCGGATGGGGGACACAGACTAAATGAGAGGAAGGGAAAAAAAGTGAGGAACAAAGCACGATCACGACAGTCAACAACAAAAGATTTTAACAAAAGATCACTTCCATACCCTGTCACAGGAATGACCTGACATAAGTCAAGTGCTGTGAAAAAAAATGCACTTTGTGTTACAAAGGAACAAAATAAAAAAGCACTGTGTTACAGAGTGGCAAGAACAGTCAGTGTTTTCCAAGTACTGTATATAAAGCAAGTATGTATGCTGACCATAACTAACGTCTTTCACTTTTTGTGATTAAAAAGACTTCACAATACCGCAAGCGGAAGAACATGTCATAGAGCCAACCTACCAATTAGCCTCCCCCAACGGAGCTTACAACATAATAAAACCCAAAATCCTTCTTCAAAGAGTTAATCAGATTTCACTTCCTTTTCTCTGACACCACAGTTTTAGGCTTGGAGACTCCTGCGTAGACTGAAGCCCTGGAATTTCTAACCAAACTCATTAACAGCATCTAAGAGTTGAAAAACTTCTAACCACTTCACTTACTTGATAATGATAAACACACACGCGCAAATACTCCACTTAGAGATTTTACAGCTGAAGCTGCACCAGTAATGAATTATTGCCTTTGCAAGGATAGGCAGCCATACACCAATGGTTTCTGCAAAACGCATGAACAAACGTCCACTTAAATGATCAGACAATATAATTTACTCTCTGTCCTACAAACAAAAAAGGCACGGATGGCCATTTCCCTGCCTTGCAAGCCCCTTTCACAGGAGAGCTCTGACACTGCGTCTTCTAGCAGTGACGCAGCCTGTGTATGCACAGTTTCTTATTTCACAACATCCAAAGCCCACCAGCAGTAATTACTTTGGTAAAGCAGAGACATCCCAGGACAAGTGACACTTTACTTACTTTCCTCTTCCAAATCCTGTCCGTTAATCCTACGCTCACACTCCTTCGGGTAATTCTTCTGAATCTTTTCCCAGAGTTCCCAGTTGATAAGAGTATTTCTGCGGGCATTATATCGTGCCCAAGAAGAGACTCGACGCCGACAAAAAGGGCAACAAAGACTGGCCTTTTCAACGGTCAGCTGGAAACAAGAATTACAGAGGGTATGGTTGCATGGCAGCGTCACGGGCTCCACAAAGATCTCCATGCAAATTTGGCAGAGACAGTCAGACAAGGAAAGCGGAGCCTCCGATTTCTTCGACATGCTGACTTGAAGTAGAAGAGCAAGTCTAGTACAACATCAGTACCTGAAAGCAAAAAGTAACATGTATTTTACTTCCTGTAATGAATATAAAAGAAAATAGAAAATGCTCAGTTTTACAGCTACTTTATGAAAGCATTAGTGGACTTAAGAAGCCTGCTTAAGTGGTTACTTTTGCTGATGATCCGAGAGATTCTCGACTTTCAGAGGAAGACACAGCTCCTTCCAGAAGTCAAGGAGAAACTGTCGCAGTTTTTCCTACCGCAGTTCCCTGTGAGTTGTAGCAGGTGCTTCAGGGATAGCAAGGAGGTGGTAAGGAGAGGGGGGGAAAGACAGCGAGAGCTCTTCCAGCATTTACTCTCCATTAGTGATAAGCTATGCTCATGTTTGGTGGATATGTTATCACAGTTACCTTAACCTTCCATTCAGTCAATTTTTCAGTACACTCACGTCCTTCAAAAGCTGCTTCTGGTACAGACTTGATTCCAGCATATTCTCAAGGTGAAATACAACATCCCTATGCGTCAGAGGAGAGGAGGTTCTTCCTCATTCATTCATTTGCTTAAGCTGGGACTAAAAAGTCAAAATACTTTTTGTTAATATAAGCAAAGAACTAACCAATGCGTTCAACACTTCAGCACCTTCTTGTACGGCTTAAAATGGTGGGGATCGTCCAACCCTCCTCACAGGATTTTTCCACTTGGCCCAGAAATACTGCGGAACAGAAAATACAAATAAAAGACACATACAGCAAAAAGGATAAAAATACTGGGTTTTAAGTTACAGGAACTGAAGAAAGTTCTTACAAGCTTCTTAAAATCAGCCAGCTTCACAGAGAGAGGAGGTCCTTCTGGGGGAAAGACTGCAGTTTCAGTCACACAGGAACTCGACATGGAGACAAATATACTTTAAGTTGGATTTTATTGTTTCTGTTCTCCCTTTGTTGATAAAACAAAGCCTTTAATTTTTTAAAAATAAGATAACATGGAAATACCCAGTTTTACAGATGGTTTGTTAAAAAGACCTAGTAAGTCTATGCATACCTGTTCTGGACTAATCTCAGTCCGTATACAGACAGAAAAAACAAGGCTGACTAAGCCGCGAAGATGCGGACGCCCGGAGGAGGAGAGGGCAGGGCGGCGGGGCAGCCCCACACGCCGTCGCCGGGGCCCGGCACACAGGGACGCCGCTACCAGGACCGGTC